AATATCCACGTACGTGCTCAATGTATGTAAACAATACTAGTGTCATCAGAATCCAGTATCCACGTCCGTGCTCATTGTATGTAAACAATACTAGTGTCATCAGAATCCAATATCCACGTACGTGCTCAATGTATGTAAACAATACTAGTGTCATCAGAATCCAATATCCACGTACGTGCTCAATGTATGTAAACAATACTAGTGTCATCAGAATCCAGTATCCACGGCGTGCTCAATGTATGTAAACATTACTAGTGTATTATTATTATTATTATTAATAGATAGTAGGTGTAAGCATTTTTTTTTCGTAATCAAACACGGCTTATATGAAGAACACTGTGTTTACTGGTCAAAAGAGTAAATATGTTGCTAATTCATATGAAACAAGTGTATTTCCAAAAAAAACAACAAAGCGACTGTAAAATATAAATATATATAGTCAGCTGCAGTGTCCAAAAATTACGTTAACAAAATAATTTGAACCTCTCTTTACACGGTTTCTCTGTACAGAAAACGTACTCTGCTGCTGAAATGCTTTACACTAACCTGTTGTGCAATGTGCAATGAAGGTCGCGCTGAGTGTTATTGGAAAATGTGCACTCTAATCCTTTATATATTCAGAAATAAATGCTAATAAATTTATTAACATAATTTCCGGAGACCTTATGTTAGATACAAGTGTTTTAAGAACTGGTCTGTGATTTTTTTTTTCTGCTGTGACAGAAAAAATAAATATTAGAAGTAATTTCTTAAGCTAGTCCTAATAGCTTAAAATATTGTCATTTCAAGAAAATATATAGTATGGTTTGATAAAAATAATGATTTAGTTATTTGCTATTTGGTAACGCATTAGCAATAATACGCAACTTTTGGCACTTAGTAAAACGTGGATGGAAAAGTATTGACAGGAGCAAAGAATATAAGGGCCTTTACTACACGCAATTTGTTTTCATACGGAGCTACAAACTAATATTCCGCGGAATAATATTCCATCCGCGCTATACCCACACCCATTACTTGTTTCCTACTATTTTCACTTTTGCGACTTTCTTTAAATTTTACCAAAAATAAATAATTTTGTGGTTTTTCTTGAACTTAATTGGAAGTTTTTGTTGTTTTACAAAAGTACTTGGCATGTCCGCTTGATTTTACATCACGTATACGTGAAAAATGAGTAAATTGGGCTTTATTCACGATAAATATTGAACTAGTTATTAATGAAAAAAAAATCAGCTATATAGGCTAAAATATCAGCAGTTGTTTTGAGTTATAAGTACTTTAAAACACCAAATGTGAATTGTATAGAGTTATGAAGTTATATTAATATCCACTGTTCATAGGGGGAACATGCATAAAATATCTACGTGCTTACACTTTTTATGAAATTTTGTAAACATAATTACTACTATTTTGAGGAGTAAACACATTTCGATTATATACATCATTACCAAGTTTTTAGTCTTAAGTATAACCGAAAGTACTGTTTCGACGAAAGTAAAACATAATGTCTTTGTTTTTCATCAAACTTTTAAACCAAGCATTTGTTTGATTCATCCTTAATTGCGAAAACAAAATGAAATAGATATATATACGAGGTATACATACTACACTGTACCTTATTTAGTTCTTGCTCGTCTGCTTTGTATAGCATGGGTGTAAGAAACCTTAAACTCAAAGGAAAACATAACTAAATGTTCAGGGCATTTCAACACATGAAATATGGGTGTTATGTTCCATAAAGTCGTCAAAACCCACCGCAGTCGTAGGCTACCGACCTATACGTTCCTGTTCCGTCGGTAAATTCCATTTGGATGCTCGAATTACCAGGAGATACGTTGGTAAATAGTCTTTGCGACTCGAACATTTCTCTAGCACAAGGTGGTATCCCACTGATCAACGAGACGGTATCTGCAGGAAATGCTTGGCTGGTGGAGACGATGGGTTCTGCCTCTTCCGACAAGGAGTACCACGGGGTGGATGTAGACAGATGCCGACCTGTTGACGCATAAGAGTGCTGGTCTACCATTCCGGCTAGTACGCTACTGTTACTACCGGAACAATGACTCGTAGTCGACCCCAACTGATTAGCAATTCCTCCCGTAGTGGTTAGGATTTCGAGTGCCGAACACAGGCCAGCGTTTTCCGGTTGATACACAGAGGGTGAAGTCTCGCAGCTGTAACCTACGGTTGGTGGTGAACTGTTGCAGGCTAGAAACTCGCCCACTGTACTGTAGGAGTGTACTGCTTTGCGACTGTAAGCCATCATTAAGTCTTCATTTTTCGATATTGAACTAAACACTTTCGGAGAAGAATTTAGAGAGGAAATGGAACCCATACTGGGAGACTGGTCTGTAATTGATACCATGGTATTCACGGAGTAGTTGCTAGCGCACGTGGATTCCATAGAATCATCTGAAAGAGTGTTGCTAAGTGCTACCGAATCAGGAGAACTTGTAAGAGAACAATTAAGTCTTGTTGTAAACTTACAGTCTTTAAGATTTTGCTGCATACAAGATGGGAGTCCAAAATCTTCGAATGACTCAGATTTGGGTGTCTTTTTGAGAATTACGTTATTGCTGGATAATGAGGTGGAACCTAGATTTGATTGAAATCGTAAGTGTGGTCCTTCGACCAACACTCCATCTTCTCCAGTCGGATTATTAGTGTTAGTAATTACATTATCAACTATTTTAGAATGAAGACTGGTCTGATGCAGTTGAGTATTATTTATTACCCTTCTTTGTTCTGTGGTGTCTTTGAGTACAGGGCTTTTCTCTTTTATTTCACCTTCCTCTCGTTTTATTTGCTCTTCCAAGCTCTTGTGTGGTTCTTCACCTTCTTCCTTTTCGCTAGCACGAGCCATTTCCTTTTTCTTGAACCTTCGACGTCTCCGAAGATAGCTTCCATTGTCAAACATATTCACACTCTCCGGGTCTAAGGTCCAATAACTCCCTTTTCCTGGCCTTTTGTCATCACGGGGAACTTTTAGAAAGCATTCATTTAAGCTTAAGTTATGCCTAATGCTATTTTGCCATCCTTGTTTGTTTTCTCGGTAGAATGGAAACCGGTCCATTATAAATTGGTAAATCCCATTTAATGTTATTTTCTTTTCAGGAGAGTGTTGAATTGCCATAGCTATCAGAGCGATGTACGAGTAAGGCGGTTTGACCATTTCTTTAGTCGGGGGATGAGGCGGGTGGTGAGACATGGTTGGACAGTACGGTGAGCTGTAACCTGGATGACGCATCACTGGGTTTGAATACTGGTCAGGTAAAACTTGATGCTGGTTTGCATAGGAAGAACCAAAGTCATTGTTCGAATACACCATCGAATTCATCCTCATCGTGGGATACCCACTGTAGTGGTAATAGTTTTGTTGCTCTCCGTATAAAGGATGCATAGTTTTGTTTTAATACTTTCTAAAGACTAACTAAGTTTTCCTCTCAACCTTTCACAAACTTTAATGCAGTTTTCTGCCAACAATAATATGGTTTTTATGGGGTTCCTATGTCTTGTATTTACAACTTAAGATACAACTAGAAGAATCCAGTTCAAAATCGCACCGATAACCATGACCTTAATTCATTCATAGAGATTACGTTGACACCGATTGGCGCTAGGCCTTTGCTCTAATAACTAAATCAGATAGTTAGAGGAGCCTGAATATTACGTTCGGCAAGGCTATGAAGTCGGTTGGCAGCAGCTTCATCGTGTCAGCCAGCGAGTTGTTGATGACTGTGCGGCACCACTTCTCTCCTCCTTTTCCCGCCCCCAGCATTCAAGAGAGCCAATGATTTGCAAGGTTCACGGGTTGCGCGTGCTTTAACGTGCAAATGACACATAGTATTTTAAGGAGTTTTATACTTGTTTTCTATGAGTAAAATCTAGCGTGACTGAAGCTATCATTAATGTGTCAAGTTAGCTTAACAACAGATTTAATTACTGCGTCAAACCAAAGGGACTAACCCATTTATTGATTTAATAGGGTGTTTGTTGTAGATCGTGAAGACTTCTTGTTATTAATAATACAAGTGTGATTCTTGGTGGTAAAAAATGTAAGGCACTGTTACGTATTTCCTTAGATCTTATTTTATATTCAAAAGATGGTCAACGTGGTGTATTAACATATTTTAACTAGATAATTTATAATATTTTAATTAAAGTTAATAATTCAATGAATGCATATTTTGTTTAATGTGTTAGAAAAAAAAAGGAATCAATAAAATTAGCGTTATAGATATATCCACAATAACCTTTTATTTATGGATGCGGTATTATGGATATTATTTGGTAGTGAAAAAATATTTTTATTTATTTTGAAACTACACATGGTTAACTTGCGATCTATGGTTAACCTACCGAGATGCTGTTCTGTTCAGAAGGTCAAAGTTTTAAAGCACGATCCGCTAAACAAGCTCCGCACTTTCAGCTCTGGGCATGCTTTTTATAAACGTATCACAATCAATCCTGTTATTCAGTGCCAGGATTCGAATAAATCTCTTGTGCGACGGATGCTACTGATTGGCTGCCGTTTCTCTTCTCAGTAACTCAAAGTTCGGGACGGTTTTACTTGAATCCTGTAGGTCTGCGACCTACTACCCGTTTAGCCCATATTTGTATAATAAATTGTTCAGTTTGAAAATACCAATGACACTTTTATGTGCTAGAAAAACAAATAACTAAATACAAGGAGCTCAAGTATCGATAGCATTATTTTGCTGGATAAAATAATTGTCTTCTTTGATCGTTTATGTGCTGAGCAAAGAAGCAAACATTTAACTTCGCCCAATACTTTAAGCTTGAGAGCGAAATGAAAAAAAATACTAATAATTTCAATTTAAAGTTCTTTTATGTTTTTTCACACATGAAATTTTGTGTTTTACTACACACTTTACTTCTCCTAACGAGAGTAGAAATCATTAGAATAACCTAAATATTAATATATTTAGTTATATTTAAACAAGAAACGAGATACCCCAAGTGCTTTTCTTTGGAGATGCATTGGGAATATATTAAGATTAGTAGCCCATACAATTACCTTTGTTGGACTAATGGCTTATAACTAACTGCTTACTAATTTACTAACGGCCTAAGTTTCAACTACAATCCGCTTACGTCTTCAGTGGAGTCCTGTTTTTCTGTGGTGGAGGTGGATTTGGATTTATGCCCTCTGGGTGGAAGGAAAGGGTATTGCCTTCTAAATAGAAATTTGTTTCGTGGCTATCTTTCCTGACTTATTGTTCATTTTCTTAACGTTTTCCTTATCAAATATGATGCCACATACACATATGTTTAATTCAGCTATCTGCTAACTTCGTTAAGTTCAAGTAATGCTCGAGTCTGAGAAATAACGCATCTTAGGCTACAAAACTGGTTAGAAACAATAACAGCTTTAAATTACTGTTAACAAGACAGTGACTAGAAAACCGCTTATAAATAACAACAACTTTAGATAACTGCTAGTAACACTATGGATACAAATTCGGTTATAAACAATAACACCTTTAAATTACTGTTAGCAGCACTATGGCTACAAAGCCGGCTATAAACAATAACTACTTTAAATTGCTGTTAGCAACACTATGGCTACAAAGCCGATTGTAAACAATAACAACTTGAAGTTACTGTTAGCAATACCATGGGTACAAAGTTAATTAGAGACAATAGCGATTTTAACTTACTGTTAGCAAGACTGTAACTATAAAACCGGTTAGAAACAGTAATAGCTTTAAATTACTGTTAGCAACACTATGGCTCCAAAACCAGCTACAAACAATAACTAATAACTCTACATTTCTGTTAAGAAGACCGTAAACTTGTCCGATCTTTTATAATGCAGATGGCTTTTTATAATGTGCTGAATTTTCTTGATTTTACTCACACACGTACACTCAAATGTACTGAAATGCTGAGTGGATTCTGTTATCTTTTCAAAGCCGTTTTTTTCTGTATGATAGATTTCCCATTTTTATCTATTTATCTGACATACATTATACGTTTATATATTTACTTTTTGTATATTAGCTATTCATCCAGAGCATCATGGGTAGTACAAGCCCACAAGAATTTTCTTATCAAAAGAGATTTCAACTAATAGGCAAATGAAAACATTCACTAATATCAAATATATTGTTATATATGAACTGAGATATTGAGATAATCAAATGTAAAAAAAGTAAATTCAAATTATTGAATAAGGATGATGGACCTGATGGAAATGTTGCCAGCAGATGGCGCGAAATTGTTTAATATGTAAATTGGTGTTTTGATAATTGCATAAATAAGTGTTATTTTTTGCAAAACATTACACTCCTGAGGATGACGCAATAGTATACGTCGAAACATGTGAAGTGTATGAGATTGTTTTCCAGTTTCATCGGAGGTTTTTACCGCTTTTTATCCTGTACAGTAAGTTATTGTATTTTAGTAATTTGTGTATAAAATAATCGTTGTTTTTTAAAAATTGTGAGTTTTTAAGATTGAACATTACACACGTGCGAAAAAGTTTTTTCTTAAAAAATTAACTGAGGTATTTATTTTCTGTTATACGTTTGCAAACAAACGTGAATTTTTGAACAGCTATTGATCATAAGAAAATTTTTTGAGTAAAATAGTAATTATTAACTTTAGATTATCGCAGTGTTGTTAAATATTTATATTCAAATAAATTTTATAATGAAACATAATTGAAAGTAATACAATAATAATAAAACACCGTTATTTTGTGCACTACTTTATCATTGTACTGTGCATATAATAACAGATAGAAGTTGGCTCAGTGATTAACCTTTTAGGCTGTGGTTCGTAGAGTCTGAGGTTCGAGACGTGATTCCATTGATCACGACTCTCACATTCAACCGTGGGTAAGTTATAAAAGTGATAGTGAATCCTATTAAAACCCGAACAAAGCCCTTGTCCTGGCGGGTGCTTATGGCTAGCTGCCTTCTCTCTTGTTAGTATTGCTAAACTATGGACGGCTATACTTGAGCTCTAAGGGTCTTTCACCTGGCTGATTAGCCCATGTGGGAATAAGGTTGACAATTCCAGTTACTTGAAGAACGATAACAACCAATGACAATTGAGCAGTTTTCAACTTTCCAAATGAAAAACTGTTCGTGTCTTTTGACTTCTGGCCAATAACTTTGTTTTTCCAATTATATATTTGAAATCAAAACATGAATCTCAATCGAAGGGGACGAAAAAACAACAAAAAAAAACGTCATGTTCATGTACAAATGCAGATAAACGCGACTAAACTGCAAAAAAATGTTGTTTTTGCTGATCCAAAGATGCTATAACTAGTACATATAAGTAAATAACTTAAGTTGTTTTTTGCTAATCCAAAGATGCTATAACTAGTACATATAAGTATATAACTTAAGTTGTTTTTTGCTAGATGAAGTGAGAAGCTGCAGTAAAAAAAGTATTTTAGTTAAAACAAACAACTTTTGGAAATTTGAAGGTTCTGTAGCCTTTAATAACCATATAGTATTATACCTATATACTACTTATAGTATCTTTAGATTAGCGAAAAACAACTTAAGTTATATACTTATATGTACTACTTATAGTATCTTTAGATTAGCGAAAAAACATATAAGTATATAACTTAAGTTGGCTACTTATAGCATCTTTGGATTGGTAAACATACTGAAATAATACTGAGACTAACACCTATATATTTATTTATTTATTACCTAACGAGCTTTATATTGCTCTAATTTTTATACTCGCGCAATATTCTTCCTTTAGATGCGTTATGTGAGTACACATAAAATTGCCTGTAAATAATATTTACACGAACTAGAATCCCATGGCAATAGCTGCCCTTGAGAAATATTAGGGCTAGGAAGGTTAGCGCCTTTCAATGTTTCAGCACTGTCATGATTCTTTTTTAGATATTTGGGCAAACCTAAGTAAGGGCTATCTGCACTAGACGTTTCTAATTGTGAACTGACATATTAGAGGGAAGACAGTTAGTTAACATTACCCAATGTTAACTCTTGGATTACTCTAATTACTCATAGTCCAGAGTGCGGTAGCAAGACGCCAACCAAACACCGAATTCTGCTATAGCCAAACATTCACGAATTTGTAATTCTGTAAATGAAATTAATTATAATTTTAATATAATCAGTGAAAGCATTAAATCTTAGTTATATTTATATATATTTAACACCTAGTGGATTTTGTACAATGTATGTTTTGTTCAAACTTGTGGTATAGGCTTATACATTCGAATATCATTTGTGCATTTCTTAAGGGAGTTTAAAAAGGATATCATTATTTGTCTGTTGCCAGTAGCTACAACAGCTGTTAGATTCTGTTTATTTTGGCACTCATTTTTCCTGAGGATGTACTCTTTTTTTCTTATCGAGATAAAGATTTTGCAACTATCAAACCATGAGATTTGAAAAAGTCGGATGGGAAAGAACCACGAAATTCGTTTTCCACATTTCTCTACACCGACGAGAGAGAGTTATTGATATAACACATTTTCAGTTTAATTTTATCAAATAATTTTAATTTGACCCGAGTTACTTGGATTGTTGGTAAACATACATCTTATTACAAATTGAAACAATTTTAAATTAAATAAATGAATTTAAATTCTTTTAGATTTGTTTGTAATTATGTAGAAACCTACACAATGGGCTATATGTGCTCTGTCCACCACG